CATTACCATCATTATCTTGGCCAACCAGGTTGGAATAATCAGGAATTTTTGTGAAATTTCCCTAATTTTAGTTGATATTCTATTCGCTATAATATCTTTATTATTATTATTATTATAATTTAAGCGTCTTTAATGAACTGCAATAGCATTGATCATACTTTGCAAATCGATATTATTTTAAAAAACGCTACTATGGTTATTAACTACTAATTTAAAATATTCTGTGTATATAAACATATATATATATAATTGTAGAGCCGGAAGAGGAATTTATCGAAAAGAATATTCTTTGCTCAATTATTTTGTGTTTCATAAATGGAGATGAATCGGGTACAAGCTAAAAGAACGTTGGGTAACATTGCACTCCAGGCCATCGGTAGGGTGGAACCTGGATGGGAAACGATGAGTTGGGTGTGATTCCGAGAGTGATATGGAGAAGATCGTGTTCAGGAGGAGATGACAGTCAATGGACAATCGTGGGGTTAGCTGGTCAGGACTACAAGGAAACCGGAAAAAGTAGAAAATGTGCTGCTGAATCCATTTTACCCACTAGTAACCCTAGGGAATACTAAGAATAAGACCAACATACGTTTTTGTTAAGTGAAAATACGACTGTACTACCATGAGTATATATCTACACAAACATATGCGTATGGGTAATAGTGAGATAATGGGCGATTAGTTGACCAAGTGTAATATAACCAAAAAAAATTGACTTCAATTTTTCCCCAGAAGGCTTTTAAAGAGAGGGACAGAGAAGCAGAAGAAAAAGAAAAAGAGAAATCTGGGTGTAACCTATAATCTGAGAAAACGTTTAATACACTATCAGGCTTAGAATTATTGGATGAGCCGAAATATGCCTATTTATAGAGACTTATACTGCCTTCCACTTTATATATATATATATGCAGATATATAAAGTTTTCTGGATATACGATAACAAAAAATTGAAAACGAATGTATAACTTATAAGAATATTAGATAAAAAAGTCATTCTTTTCTCCTCTCAGTCATCTAGCTGTCTGTGTTTTACGGAACATCGCGATTAGTTGACCGAGAGAGAATTGGATTTTCAAAAACGCTAATGTCATGTCGGTCAGTGCTTCTATATGTATGGTTCATGGACTAGGTGTATCACGGAGAGCATTTCTTACAAGCTTCAACGGAAGTGCACCAACGAAGGCTATGGAGATGCACTAGGGAGGGGAACCCGAATGGGAAATCACGAGTTGGGCATGAGTCAAAAAGTAGTGACTTAGAGGAGAGAGGAGATGAGGGATTAGGGATGATTGCGGAGCCAGTTAGAAGCGATTTCAGAGAAAAGGGTGAGGTGGAGTTGTGCTGTTGAAGCCCTATGTTCCATTCAAGGAACAAGGAAGATACATTATAAACAAGTATCTATGGTTTAGTACGACTACGAAATGGCGGTAAATATTTCCATATTCAGAGAACAGCACTAAAAACACCACAGCAAGGACTTACACTGAGAACTCAGCGAGTATCATGACTATCATCACTGTGGGATTTATTTAGAGCTTCCTGAGTTGTAGAGCATTTAACCTTGTAATCCTTTCACATGGGAGAGAGAAGATTATTTTTTGTTGAACACGTGTAAATATGGTGAAACAACCATATACAACAGTAATCGAAAACTGTGTTTAAAACTGTTATTTGGTGATTGGTAACGGGTAGTGGAATCCAAGAGGCTCATTTCGTCCTATTTGGGACTCGTCACCCGACTTGATGTACGCATGATCCCCAGTAAGTGGTAGTGTTCCCGCCGACAGGTAAACACAGCGCCCATCGTTTAAAAAGCTAAGGCATTATCCCTTAGGTCAGTTACACCACAACAGTCAACTCTTGTAACAGTTGATATTTTTTTTATTCCTTTACGTTCCCAGTGGAACATAGGAGGCTTTCAAGCTAGAGACTTGAAGTTTCAGTAGCAGTGGTGTTTATTTTTACGGGATAGGGTTGCTAGCCAGCCTCATGCCCAACCTTCGCTCTTTACCTGTTTTATTACTGGCTTAGTGAGGTAAAGGAGTCCGTTGTCCGGGACTCGAACCCTGGACCACATGCATGGTAAGCGAGCATTCTACCGCTGTGCCACTGACGCACAACAGTTGATATTGATGTAAGTTAATTTTGTATCGGAAACATTTATCTCTATCGTGATATACTGACTCCTAGCACAATCCCCTCCACAATTTTCAAAGATTAACGCGATGTTATCTGGTGGATAGTCGTTGCCGTCATACTAATCCTCAGACAACGTATGCGACGTCTGAGAGTGCAGCACTGGGTGATGCCTACTCGAATCTAAGAAGGGACATGATTGCATTCAAGGCTTCATTTTGATAGCCTTCACCCATCTAAAGTAGTGCTGACTGACTGGGTTCAACATCGAACTTTGCGCAGAAGTACAGCAGTTCAAGCTAATACACTCCATGTGGAACATGAAGATGGGGAAAATAAAGAAAAAGGAGCTATAAAAGAACTACACTTGGCGGAAATATTCAGGGGAAATAACGAGAAACATTAAAAAACACGAGGATTTAATGGAGATCGGAAATCACTGAGAATTACTCTGAGCTATATCTCCAATTGTCTCCAACCGAAGGTTATTATGATCCTAAGAACATCAACAAAGCGCTCTACTCCTCTATACGTGAAAAAAACCAATTGCCTAGGACTTCATAGACGGGTTTCATATTTTGATTTGACCACTCCTAACTATTTCACAACCTAATCCTATGTTACCTAACAATGCTGGGCGAGGAAATTGGTAGCTCGGCATGCATTACACGTTTTCTTAGTCATCTCAATCAACTCACCATCACATCCTCATTGACCAACATCCCTTCCTTACTTAACACTCTACACTTATCCTTAATACTATTCACCATATTATACCTCTTAACACGGGAGACAGAACGCAAAGCAACATCTGTGGTTAAAGACAGCTACTCTCTTCATACTTTCCATTCTCATCAGCTATGTCACACACTGCTATGCAGTACACACATCCTTTGAACGATAGCTATCAGAACATTATGGATGATACAGCTCAATAAATAAGTGAAGCAGTGGAAACACTCTACCACTTCACTCTCTTATCTTCAGACTGAGAGTTGGTAAAAAGCAATTCTTCAGGTATAGCTTACTTACAGTTAACAGGGGGTAAATCGTATGCCAAAATAAATGAGATTTCTACCAAAGGTATTCAGAAGACTCTGCATTTTTCAGAGTCTTCATCTAGGAGGACTCTAAGTGAGTGAGACTGTTCTCCGCCAACAAGTCAATCACTAAGTCGTCAAAGTCATTTACGGTCAAATATTTTAGTATATATATGATGAAATTGAAGCAAATTGAGGACAGTTGGCATTCGTAATGGATAACACTGGTTGTGATCACTTCAGATGACAACCCTCCGTAAGCTATGACACGGCAGCCTGTATTCAAGTAAACTTCTGTTGATCAATGCGGTATACTTTCTCGACAGTCTGTTTACCGCAAAGCATAGCCATAGCACCTCTCAGTCAACTGAGTCTGATGCCGTCTTCAGATTGAGAAATAAGAGAAGTTCATGAATAAAAGTGGCATTCAGACCCACAAACTCACACTTTGAAACAAACTTTGTCGGTTAAAGGACCCAGTGGAGCCAATTAAAAAAAACAGATTAGTTTGTCTAATACCCTGCAATGACTTTCAGATCAAAAACGTAGGTCAGAGTAACAGGGCAAGGTCAATCAGATTAGTGGAGAACTAAAACCTAGCAAAATTTAGATTAGATGAACCTAACAAGATAAGAAATCTGGAAAACACTTCAGCTATGGCACTGCATGTAACTACACACAACTATACAATAGGATGTGAAGAGGCGATAGTACTAAAATTTGATCTAACAGAGTGAAGGGAAGGATTTATAACTGAAGCTTTATTCATCGAACCGGCTGTGAATACGTGCAATAGGAATGCTTCAACGCCTGCCCAACCAGATATCTCGAAAATTCTACCACCTCTACAACAAATGGGAAGTAAGGGAGAAAACTATAAAAATTTCAAGTTTCAAAGCCATGTAGTTATGACTGATGACATGATTATGAAGGGTAAGTTGCATTTGTAACGGCATTCAGTAAATTATGATTCTGTTTCACTGTGTGGTATATCCAATAAACAAATTAATGAGGTGTATGAGACTTATAAAGGTTAAGTTTGATCATAAACTGATATCAGGGGGAGAACAAATGAAAATCATGGAGTACTGGACAGCTGACTGTTTCGTCCTAGTTGGGAACTCTTCATCCATAAGCACCTAAGACTAGCTTTCAGGTCAATTCGCAAATTTTTATTGTGACTACTAGCCAGTATCATAGGTGAGCATTTGTACTAACTCTTCAGGATTAATCTGATGCTAACTAATGACTGACTTCTGGACACTGTTGACTGGAGTTATAGTCAGAAATCGTGGTCAGTGGGATCTACCAAGTTGAGTGTTAGGACCAACGACGTCGGCTGGCGGTCATGCTATTCCAGCCCATTTGTCTGGATGATCAAAGAACTCGGCCTCGTTACCTGAAGGTTCCGAGTTCGATCCCTTGTGGATCATGACTGCCTCCCTCTGGAGAGTTCCAAGCACGAAATGGTCGCGCTATGTCGTGAATTGGCAGAAGTTAGAATTCAAGGACCATTCGATCGGGTCACAGTGGCTAAGTGGTCTACGTGCTCGCCTTGTAACCAGAAGGTCCTGGGTTCGAACCCCGGTGTCTACGTACTGATGAAGAGTCCCGAACTAGGACGAAACGGCTGTCCACTACACCCAGGTTTTCCAATGCTTCTCTAATTGATGTCAGCTCATGATAAAATCCTCCATGCAATCGAAGAAGAAACAGTCAGATGTTCTGTGCTTCCAAGTTTTCAGTGGTGTCTTAACGGATATCAATCCATGATGAAACGTTCAAACCAATTAAATCCTATAAAAAACTAGTTTTATGAATTACCAGCTGGATAATCTAAATTTGGTTGATGCTGTCTCTGTTGCTGTTGTTGTTGTTGCTGCTGTTGTTGTAATAACTGTTGATGTTGTTGTAAAAGTTGTTGATATAAACTTTGCAACTGTGCTAAATTTGTTCGATTCACAGTAACTTGTCCAGCCGACTGATTCGTTGCCAACTGAGATTGCTGTTGTTGTTGTTGCTGCTGCTGTTGGTCGGTTAGTGTATTCGGATATTCTGATTGCATTGAACTTTTCTGTGGTACTACTTGTACACGTGGACTAAGTAAAGCTTGTTGATATAATGGTATTTGATTTGTTGCTGCATGTGGTGAGGCGTCTTGTACATTGACCCATTGACTTGAACTTTGTGAACTTCGACCACGTATCACTGGATGACTTAGTGGATCGGAGATTTGTCGCATTAATGTCGATCGAGGTGGTCTCGATGAATCTGTTAAAGGATAGAAAAAAAGGTCAATAATCATTTCGTTGAATGGCTTTCAAACACAAAAAAACAAGGTGTTAAGTGTGAATCTATGTGAACAAACTTCTTACAGAACCGCGATCAGCGTACCGCTTATTTCGTTAAATGTTGGCTATCTATTGAGTTCTGGACTCTGGTTTCATCGTTATTTAAGATTCATCAGGTGGATTTACCTACATCTCAAGGAGTGATCAAGTTCTCATTAAAGCTGGAACTCCAGAGTGTCACCTACCAGACTAATGTGTTAAGAGAGTCGTCTGTTATCCAACGAGTGTCAAATATGATTTATCGAAACTTCTGAACTTATGATGGACTGAGTAGTCTTCAGCGTAACGTTTCACCGTAACTGACATATCTACTCAATCAAACGTTCACTTAAAAGGTCACGAAATAGCACGAAATATGAATCACAGATTCCTTTTTGAGCTATAAATAATCAAATAGAATCAATAGATATCGATTGTTTCGGTCTAATAAAATCAATCGAAGGGATTGAGCAGCATATGGCCACTTTATTCTGTTCTTTGCAGACTGATCAAGCTGACTCAACTGTTGCCCATAAGCTTTCAGTTTTCCTTCTCATATGATGGTCTCCTTCATCTCATCACTGGACACACACCCAACCTGTCGTTTCTAATGTGGTCTCTATCCAACAGCCAATCAGCTGAAGTCACTCAATGATCGCCTCGACGTATGTCAGATCCATTTCCACTTATTTCTGTGTATTTGCTGCATAGTAGGTTGATAGTTGCGTACCGATAGTGTATGCATAGAATGCTTACTGACCAATCACATAGCCCGACCAAAGGAAAGTTTTCAAATCACAGTGTGTGATCTACCCGATGCCATAAATGACGGTAATGAAAGCAAATAATATAATATGATAGTATATACTACTGAGTGAGTAATTTCAGTAGTTGAAGACCGCTTTTTGCAATGAGAATTCGGCTTTTTGAAGTGAGTCAATCAGGGTAAACCCGCAAGTAATCTTATTCTCATACTAGCGTAAAGACGTTGTAGTGTTTAAATCACTTCAGTTTCATGAGCAAGTACTACTGAAGTCAGTTAGTAGTAGTATATACCATTACCACAGTCTTTCCTCCTGCAAAAGATGAAAATATTTAAGCGTAAACGACATCTTCTTCAACGAGAAGCAGGAGAAATAAGAGAGGACTACTTTTAGGTCATCCAGTCAGTGGATCCGCCTTTCCTATTACCTTCATTTTGGTTGAAATCAGTGTGTACAGTAGGAGTTCACCTAATGTAACCAATTGCTTAAAGGAAATCTTTTTGCAATATGGATCAGATGTTGCCAGTCTACAATGTGTATTAATTATAGATAAGATTTTATTTTGATAAATCACACACAGTGTTGTTATACAATAATATTAACTGACGACAACATTTCGAGCACAGTTTATTGCTCCTCATAATCATATCAAGGCACTCACACACACAACTTTTCCCCTTCATTTATAAACATGAGTGGAATTCATTAGACATTTGAATAAAATTCAATATGAGATAATGTACATTCAGAAATAATAATATGAGTGTTATTGATCAATTACAATCAGATGGGAAATAAGACGAGTGTTTTTATAGTCAAAATAAGTAACTTGTTAGAATGTTATAATGTACGTGAATTGAAATAGAATTTTAAGATTATTTATTATCCTCTTCTGATTTGACTGGCGGTAATAATATCTTCCTTACATATCTCTGGTATTCGCATTGAGTCATTTCTGTTGCATGTGTTGGGTGTAGATTATTCGATGAACCAGGATTTAGTTTTTTTCTAAATTACTTATCTTCGTGGGATCAATCATTCTTACCTTAGCCAAATTCTCATGTTCTGATAATCTCACTACTACTGCCTGATCTACTAGTTTGACTGACCAATGTAGTCTACCTCATTGACAGGCATTGCAGGGTATTTTGTAAATTATATTATTTTGTCTAATTGAGTCCACGGTGTCTAATAGCCTACAGAGATTGTCTCTGAATGAGTTTGTAAGTTTGAATGTCAACCTAATTCCTGCTTTATTGCAAATCCTAATCAATTCCACACTGGTATGTAAATGAAGTAAACAGTTGTGCGAGTAGTGCCTTGATATGATTATGAGTGGCAATAGTTTGTGCTCGAAAAGTGGTCATCAGTTAATGTTACTGTATAACACTGTGTGATTTACCAAAATAAAATCTTATCCATAACGGAGTTATACTCTACCACCACAGTGCCCAAGTTATATACTTATATCAATAATACACTGTGTATTGTTTTACTGACAGTATAATGACAACTCAGACACTGAATGACTGTATGTTACTGATGATGTTGTACAGTTGTAGACTTTTTGTAATTTGTGACATTTAAAATAGGTAGTTTCTGTTCACGAATTTAGACGAAACAATAGGACAACAGTAAAGAATAGACACTTGATATGATTATGAGCAATAAATTGTGCTCGAAACGTCATCAGTAAATATTACTGTATAACACTGTGAGACTCTATCAAAATAAAATTTACCCATAATGGAATAGACACTATAGTCAAATGACCTTGAACTAACCAATCAGATCGCTCAGGATTACAGCAATGGATGCTCTTCATGATCTTAGTAGCAAATCTCATCCTGATCCAGGGATAAGGTTAGGGAAGGATTATGATTAAGGTTAGAGTGAAGTTTGCAATGAAGATTATGAAGAACATCTATTTGTAATTATGGACGATCTGATTGTTTGGCTAAAGGTCATTCGACTGTGATGTCTGTTCTTCACTGTGGCCAACACTAAGAAGACTTAGTTCATTCGTTACGCATAATGAATTTATGTAGCTACCCGGGAAGCATCGTTTCAACTACAGGTGAAACTGACAAGGATATCAAAGCAAGAATCGGGAAAGCAAGACAAGCTTTCACTGCTCTGAAGTCCGTGTGGAGGTCAGCAGCACTCAGCATGAAAAATAAGATGTGGATTTTCAACTCCAATGTGAAGTCAGTGCTACTCACTATACGGATCAAAGACTTGGCGCGTCATAAAGAGCACCTCAAACAAACTACAAACCTTCATCAAGAGTTGTCTTCGCTGAATAATACTGAAGATCAGATGGCCGGCCAGAAAAGATCAGCAACAAGGATCTCTGGTAGTGAACCAACCCAGCAGGAACCGATTGTGAAACAAATAGGCAGGAAGAAATGGAGATATATTGGCCATACTCTGAGGAAACAAACCATCAAGTGACATCACTAGACAAGCTGTTGCTCGAGTGGAACCTGGCCGAAAGGGAAGCGGCGAGTTGGTCGTCCAAAGGTGACATGGAGGAGGTCATGTGAAGAGGAGATGAAAACGTGTGGGCAGACTTGGAGCCAGGTGAAGACTCTAGCAGAGAACCGAACGCAATGGAGACGCGCGGCTGAAGCCCCATGTTCCTCTAGGAATTAAAGGAAACAATAATAATAATTTATCTCATTGCCACACACACAAATACTCGTCATGAAGATTTAATTTTTTTCATTCTTTCACGTTCCCAGTAGGACATAGGGCTTCAAGCTACAGGCTTGAATTTTCTGAAGCAGTGTTTATTTTTACAGGATAGGGTTGCTAGCTTCATGCCGAACGTTCCTTCTTTACCAGCCTTATTACTGGCTTAGCGAGGTAAGGGAGGACTGCGTTGACCGGGGATCGAACCCCGGACCACATCCGTGATCGGTGAGCATTCTACCACTGTGCAACCAACGCACTGTACATATTCATGCAAGAGTTATATTATTATTGATCCCGCGAGTTTCGAATAGAAAATAAGGCTTCAATAACACATCTCCGCTTTTTTCTATTTTCTGCTGTCCTCTTCAACTGGGCCCACGATTGCCCACAATCTCTCACACGATCTCCTCCATGTCACCCTCAAACAACCAGCTCATTGTTTTCCATTCGGTTTCCACCCGAGGGTCTGGCGAATGGAAGACAATATCAGAGGACTAAAATGTATCAGTGTAGGTCAAGGTGTTAGTTTAAGGGGTTTCAGTCATAGACTAAAGGAGATGGAAACACATGGCTTAAAAATTGGCAGATTCCATGTAATAACAAATAATTTTTGAACGCATGAAATCGATTAAGCTCGGTCTTAGAGAAGAATTTAACAAATTTGTGTATTTGACCTAAAGACTTATTATACATGAGTTTAAAATTGGTGTTAACATAAAATTCGTGATCCATCTATATGGCGGGCTTTATTGTCGTTGAGCCAGTTGGCAAGCTCCTGTGAACCCTAGCCTGTAAAGACAGATGAGTCATTCCTCTGTGTGTATGTGTGTGTTCGCTCACACACACACATTTGTGTAAACTGATAAACACCATCCGATATTTTACTGATATCGTGAGATATATTTTTCAGTCGTAATTTTGCTGACAGCTTACAGTTATCAGTATCAACAGCTAGCTGCCTTCACTCAGCACTAAAGATCATATATCTTATTGGAAAAGATAGGTAACAAAAAGGTCTATCAGGCCCTTGAATCGGCACCTAAGAATGTATTACTCATAAGTATGGCGCAGAAAACGCAAATGGATTGGATAAACATTGGGGCGGCTGTTGATTGACAAGCTAGACCCTCAATAAAAATAACCAGAGTGGGAAACGATGAGTTGCACATCGATCCCATAGTGACATACAGAATATCCTGTGAAAAGGAGAAGATGGATCCCGTGGAGCCAGATAAAGAGAAACACTGAAGAGGACAGAATGAAATGGCTATATGCTGCTGAAGCCCAATATTCCACTCAGAACTCACATTACAAATCTAAATTATACGTTTCTACACTATGAGCGAACCAACCCAGCAGGAACCAATTGTGCAACAAATCTGCAGGAAGAAATGGAGGTGGATTGGTGGCCATACTCTGAGAAAACAAACCATCAAGTGACATCACACGCCAGGCCATCGCTCAGATGGAACCCGAATGA